GGGGGGGCAGGGGGGGCAGTTGCCCCCCCCTCGGGATTTGAGGTGCAAAAAATAATCGCAATTTCTGATTTCTGATTGAGCAATAAGTAACAGTTAAAATGCACCAGAATGCAGTATTATACTACCCTGCGTGTCAGAGCAACGTAAAAATTAGCTTGTAAATATTACATATAACTGTACCTTGGAGTCATTTCTGGTATTGCTGATATGGGTTATATATGAAATCAAGATCGAGCTGGCAATACCGGAATCTAGAACCTAGGGTATATTATACATACAGTTTAAAAAATTTTCCACACCGTGGGAGGGGGACCCCCACCCCCCCTGGTGGCTTCGCCCCCTCATGTCCGCTTACATGTACTGCCCCCCTGGCAGTTTGCTCAGGCTACGGCCCTGTTAACACTTTTAACGTCTTTCTATTCGGGTCCGACAATGTGTCTCTGTGGGTCTGTCAATCCTGTACATGAACTCGGCCACATTCACATATCAGGAGTGGTGTCTGTATGGTAATGGCCTCCCTCTCCATGGTCACTGAACAGGTGGAAGTGCTCAACACGAAGATCAAGGTCCTGTAAGAGACAGGTGCTTTTTATATTATAACTGTACGGTCCTGTGTGCTGCTCTCTGTAAGAATATCATAGCACACCTTCTTTTCTAATAACTTATAAAATGAGTACAGAATCTGGCATGGAATGTGCGGAAATATTGAGTTTCCATATATACAACATTGAAATGCAGCCAGTTATTCTAATCAGTTTTAATTGTGCTACAGAGATATGGAGTTTGGAACATTTTTGAAAAAGCAACTAGCATTAGTAATTTGTGCACAGATTGTCACTGTATGAATAATTTATGCAATACTTCAGCTCTTTGGAGTCTAATATCTAATAAACGGATCTTAGTTGTAGTGAAACGACATACGTCTTCGTACCTAAGATGACATATGGCCTAAAGTAAAATGTGGCCTGACATGGCACGATATCACTCCAGCCGGCGGTCTCTCCAGACAGCCACGAGGGGATTCCCCGATTAACAATCGACTTATTGAACCAGTTTGTAACACACTTCCTTCCTATGATTCGGAGAACTAAACGGAAGCGAAAGCATAATGTTCTTTTTACTGCTGTCATTATTCGTTCCATGAGAAGCGGTAGTATTCAACACCGATTGATAGTTGTTTAAATGGCGGGTAATATAATTTTTTCTCAGTTTTAATGCAGGACGTGGCTTAAGGTTATGAATTTTCAGTAAAGCGAACTTTCGTTTTCGTGATAGAATTATTTTACGTTAAAAACAACCACAACGACGATTAAATGTTTGTAAAAAATACACCGTTAATGCGTAAAGAATAGCATACCTGTACATAGAGGATCCACGCGTTTTTTCCTTTACATTTGATTATTTTTGAATTATGCTAGTGAGACTTGATTGACATTTAGTACAATGTAGATGAGACAGAAATACATTGTACATGTATATGTGACATGTCTGAAATTTGAGTTTAACTTAAATTTAGATAATTTTTTTCTTCTTTTGATCCCCCTTATGGGGTCCGCCATATAGATAAACGTCCTAATAAAATATTCGTCCCGATAGATAGACCTACGTCTCTATACATACACGTCTCAATAGATTTACGTCTCGTTAAATTTACGTTCCGATAGATCCACCAACAGATTCCTATAAATTTACGTACAGTAGGCATAGGCCTACTGGTATCTTTAGATCCAGGTACCGCAAGATCCATGTATCTGACATCGTAATCGGCTAAAATGCCGATATCAGCTTGAGATACAGGTATGAGGCTTTCGAGTGATAGTCTGACTGGGAGTATTAACATTTATAGTGACGTACCTGACAACCTGATATTTATTACCTTAAGGTATGGTAAGCTCTAAAAAAGTCACAAATTCCTTTAGAAAACGAATTTCACCCGGGTAAACTGTATTTTCCTGGACTAATTTTACCAGTCCATTTTTGTTCTAAATCATCAATCCAAACTGCCCAAGAGCACTTTTACTTTAGTATGAGTTTCTTACGATGTCTTAAACTATGATCAGAATTCAAATTCTCCCAACCTACACCTAAGACAGTATGTAAAGGTTATCGATTAATGCATTTCCAAACAAACTATGTTGTTTAGCTTAAGGGCTCGTCGGGAGCGGGGAGGGGGCTGCAGCCAATAATTTGCTCGTGTATCTTCCCCTGGCTTTCGCTACCTTTGCTCGCACACCCCCCCCCCCCCCCCCCCCCCAAAAAAAAAAAAATCCGTTCCGACAGCAGTGTTGCATTACTCTTAGGGATGAGCATGAATTAACGGGAGTGTAATCTTGGCATATAAATAAAAATAACGAGCATTTATGAGAGCAACTTTGCCCTTACTAGGGCTTTAAACTTAGACATAAAATTAAATCAGAATACAGTAATATGCTCAAATATCCACATATTTCACCCCCTCTTTCCCAGCATTACTGGAGGTTCTGAAATGTTTATAATCTGAAATAGAAACGTGACAACACCATACCAAACCGGAGGGCCCATTTATTTATTTATTTATTTATTTATTTACTGAACGTAAAATACAATGAGAAGGCTAAAAATACGTGGATCTATTAGGCATGCGGATTTATAAGTAGGTCTACGTGGGTTTATGTGGACGTTGTATCTTTAGGAACGCAATTATAGGCCTATAGGACGGTGGTAAAAAAATCGGATCTATTGGTATTTAAATCTAAGAAGACGTTTTTTCAGTTTTTCCTTTACGTATCTATCGGTAACGGGAGTATAGGGACGTGTAATATTTTGGGACTTAATTTTATCCTTACGTCCCCGACCTTATCTTTGGCATTTATTTTACGGCTCCCATTAAAAAAAGGGGCCCGCCCAAAGTCCCCAGCTTGATTTTGAACAGGTATGTATTTTCACAGGCATTTGAAGATTAATTGTTGGCCCTAACATTTCATCAACAATCTGCAATATTGAAGCCTTTGGTCCTACATGTACATGTACAGTTACAGTTTGCCTGCAGCCAGTAAAATTTTGCTAGGACCAGTAGATCCCCCCCCCCCCCCCCTTAAGTAAAAATCACAGCCTGGAATCTCTCACATTTTACACAAATGTTTGCAAAATTCTGCTTTTGTGTCAATTTCTTGGAAAAGAAATGTTTTCTGAAGACCCAGAATGTGTAAATTTAGTGGTCTGACATGGCCATTTTATTTTCTCTATAAGGTTTCAAAAGAGCTTTGGGTTTGATTTAATTCTATTTTCTGAAATGTAACTGTTACATGATGATTCTAAATGAGAAGATAAAAAAATCAAGGACTTTTTATATCAAGTATTAATGCAAGTAAAATGTCCAGCATTCCTATGATCAAAGAGATACATATAAGATATCTTTAAGGGCGACAACATGTCCCTTCACCTTATGCCCAGCCAGTATTACGGACCTGTCTGTCCAGTTAAATGCTAAATATTTGTCATGGCAGGTCATTTCTGACTCTGCCCTGTAATTACCAAAATGATGCTAGAGATGTTCATTTGAAGTTAACCTAAAATGCCATAAATATATCTGATGCTTATAGGCTAAGTGCCAGAATTTTGGTTAGCAAATATGAGAAACTATATCTTTACTTGTTATATTTTATCAGTACAGCTTAAAATCTGATGCTTCATATGAGCGAGGAAAGTTTTTTTATCATGGTTAAATAATTACCATTTTTAAAAACCTTGAAACATTGTTTGCCATTGTATCACCCTGACTTAATGAACAACTGTATCTACATGTAAGCATAGAGTTAAACTAGTTAACAGTAAGTACCTGATACCATATCTTTATCAATATGCGACATACTTTTAATGGTGAATTGCTTAAACTTTGATCACTGTTTATTAACAGGGAAATATGTAGATTTCTGCAGCTGTTGTACAATCCTTTCAGATTGCTGCCCTTTTTTCTGTACTTTTCACTGTTTAGAATTCAAATATAAGATTACATTTTTTATTGCGATCTTCTCACTAGTGAACAGTAAGAAGAACTATATGTCAGTTTGGATCTAGTCTAAATAAAGTAGATTTTAAAATTTAACAAATGCCAAAAAGAATGCTTGAATTCACTGATTTAACATTTTGATAAATAAACGTGTATTTTTCAGTTGTTTATTTTTGTATGATATGTATGCATTATTTCAGGCTTTTTGCCAAGCTGGAAAAATGTGAAAGAAATTGGCAACCAAGTTTTGGGTCATGGGGACTACCAACAAGCAACCGATCACTATAGCCATGCCATTTTTCTGGCGGAGGTATGTGGTGGTGCAAGCATTTGGGAACTGTCAGCATTGTACAGCAACAGGTCCCATTCCTTTGCAAAGCTAGGATTCATCGAACAAGCTCTTCAGGATGCTTTCCATTGTATTGAAATAAATAGGAATTGGTTTAAGGTAAATTTGCACATATGTTTGCACTTTTTCAGACATGCCATGTAACATTTTTATTTATGGAATAGGAAAATTATTTATAGTGACTGCATGTGTGACCTTAGTTGATTTGAGTGAAAATGTGTTTTAAAGATCCCCGACAAATATTATATAGGATGGGAGAGTGGCAAATGATTGTTTTATTTCAACATAATTTTTATGTATTTATTATAATTACATTAGATTTTTATTAAACGCCTTTGCACTAAGAAGTGATATTGTAGATAACAATGTTAACCGTCAAGATATGTATAAATGAAATACTTGTATATGCATGGTGTATACATATTTATTCCTGTATGTAAAACCTTGATTGTATATATTTCTTCTGTGTTTGTACAGATTGTCATGTATTGTTGGCCAGAGGCCTTACACTACAAATAAATCATCATCATCAAAAGTGAAATTAAAAAATATTTATGAAGGGATACTGGCGAGCGGGACAGGCTTTGAAACTTTTGCATAAGCCCCAAGAAGCTCTTCAAGTATTTAGCGATGGCTGTGCACTGGTGAATGAAGATGATGGCAAAAACTTTCATACTAAAGTTGACTTCATTGTGGAAATAGTATCCTTGTCTCATGAAATTGGAAGTAAGTAGAAAACTAATGCCTTACCAAATCACTGCGAAATAATATTGTACTAAATGTGGATTGATTTAATATATGTTTGCATCAAATTTGTCTTATGCAAATGGAAGTACTTGATATTAAAATGATGATAAAATCATAATTAAACCACTGATTTTATCAAATAGTTTTGCACAGAGCAAACTTTGATTATTTTTAAACATAAGTGTATTACAATTATTGTATTTTTCATGTAAGCCAGTAGATACATTTCAGCTTCATACCATGATCTCCCCATGCAAAAGTAAAAGAAGCTTATAATAAAAATACAATGTAATACCTCATTTTACTAAAATATGTCATTCAAATTTCAAGTGACCTCTATATATTGAAAGATTTTGAAAATAATCTACTGGTAATGTGTTGAAAATTTAAAGATTTGTTCATGGTTTAATTCAGGCTGGATGCACCTTGCAACACATGTTAGAGCTCGTGATAATGTGTGGTCGCAGCTGCTGTTTTGTATGGCAAAAAAGAAGAAGTGGGAAACACTCTTAATCCTGCTAATGGGAACTGGAGTCTTCAGAAAAGAATCTGTCATGTTTAATTACCAAGGAAAGTTCCCCAAAATAAGCACTCAAAAGATCTGTCTTACCAACTTAATCAAGGTTCGTATGGTTTGTTAATGATACAATTATTGAATTCAATTATACCCATTTTCTATTTTTCTTTAAATTTTATTTTATCTTAATTTCTTCATATCCTTTCTTTTGTAACTATAAATACTTAAATTGTCAGACTGAGTTGAATTATATTTACAGTACTGTGCATCTCAAGCAGACCCTAGTTTTGTGCATCTTGCAATCAATCTTCTGCAACATGGATCCAAAGAAACAGATATAACATTAGAGACGGGGGACACTCCATTCCATGCAGCTCTTACAATTGCAGTGAGAACCTGTGAGTTCTACTAATTATTATAATAGGAGTTTGGTCAACTTGTTACCTTCAATCTCTGTAAGAATATGTGATAAATATGAACCTTTTGAAGGAGTTAGTTTTATCTGTTTAGTATTACACTGTAGTTTGACGTTCTGGTGATGTTTATGTACCATTAAAGGTTGTTTCTACCACTAAATTGTTTACTTAACATGGATATGATTTAAATGGATAGATTTTCAGTTAATTTACATGTATTGATTTATTTAGAACAAGTAAAATAATATTGGTGATATTTCATGTGTCAGTGAGGCACTTAAAAGATTTTTACTAGTAATTGAATATACAAAAAACTTTTTCTAGCAAATACAGACCTTTTGTGGCATTTGGTTAATTCCAACCCAGACAGGGTTAAGGGAGTACAAGATGCCCGCGGGGATACTCTCCTGCACAAATTGGCCAAAACACTGGCAAGGGAACCTTCTCTTCTCTTTGGGGATGTCACATCTGAACTCATGGAAAAAGTTAGTATCACTTCTATAATGTTTTGAAATAATGCTATCTATTAAGACAGTTCTATTGTTGCCGAACCTTGTGGCAAATAAGTAATACAAGTGCATTTAAATAGTTATTATTATTGTTATTATTTACATGATATTATTATTATTATTATTATTATTTGTCATTGTTTGTTTTGTTAAGGGAATATTATTTTGTATTGTGTAAGGTTTTGAGAGTATACTACCAGTGACCTGTTGTGACGGGTCAATGATTTAGGGAGTAACGAGCAGATCATACTGGAGTGGGATCTTGTGATTTTGTTATGCCCCTATTTCACACAGACCACGAATCCCACGAATGGCCATGAATTGACAAATTTCAGGATTCGTGATTGAATTGTAATCAGTTCGTGAAGTTCTTAACAGATTCGTATATATTCGTAGTCAGTTCTTGCACTTCTTGACCAACAGGAATTGGTGGCAAAAACTTTGATGCCCCTATTTCACACAGATCACGAATCCCACGAATCGCCAGGAATTGAAAATTTCAGGATTCGTGATTGAATCGTAATCAGTTCGTGAAGTTCTTAACAGATTGGTATATAATCGTAGACAGATCTTGCAATTCTTGATCAATCGGGAATTCGTGGCAAAAAATTGAGCTGTTCAAAGTTTTGGCCACGAACTCCAGATTCCAAAAAATCGTAGTGAATTTCTGGACAATATTCGTGCGATTCCAGCCGAATCCCACGAATATTCGTAACACTATCGTATCTGTATCGTAACTGAATCGTGAGCGTGTCGAATTAGACCAGAAAATTGGCAAAATCTCACGAATCCTTACGAATCCTGAAATTTGTCAATTCCTGGCGATTCGTAGGATTCGTGGTCTGTGTGAAATAGGGGCCTTAGCAGATATGCCTTTTTTTTTGTGATAGATTATCTCAGAGTTAATATAGCTGCAATCAATTTCACCATACACAAGCAATGCTGTTACTTGTCTTATGTATGATGTGAAAAAAAAATAAAAGCTATTGAAACTGAGATGTGAATCCTGAGTTGTTCAACAGCTATTATTATTAAGACACAAAGGAATTATAAAGTTGGTTGGTTTCTATGGGAGTTAAAGAAAGTATGAAGGACTAGACATGAAGGACTACATGGCTTTTATTGTTCCTGTATTTTTAATTGTTGATTTTAACCCATGGACATTTGCAGTGATTGATATATTTTTTTTGTTTAAGAAAGCTAAGGTGAGCTTGAGGTTATATTCTCAACCAAGGTCACAGCAGAGAGTTGAACTGGGCTACTCTGGAAAATAATGAGTACTAATTACTTCTATATAATCTATATATTCTACTTCATTACTTCTATATAATCATAATTAATTCATTTTGTTACTGTGAATTATATTAAAGCAGGCGAGCACAAAATGCTGTGGCGACGTGCCGCCTGCTTTTAATTTATTTATAATGTATATCTTTATTGTAGAAATAAATCTGATAAAAAAAGGTGAGCTTGTCAGTTCCATGGGCATAAAATTGTTACAGGTACCAAAGAAATTTGATGTGGAATGCAAATACTAAAACTAGACATGGTTCATGTACTGGTAACCATTCCACAAAACCAGTGCTTGGTTTACAATAGAAGAATTCATTTTTTATAAATAGTATTCAAAGTATTTAAAATAATGAAATCCATTTATTATTGAACAATACTTTAACCTATGATTAAAAAAACTGATTCGGAAGGAAATTTTAAATTGTGAGAAAAAAGTTACTTTTCTATCATCTGACACATTCATTTCATTTGCGAATATAGAAATTACTTTTAAAAATTACTGTTTGATTAATTTTTATTCGAAATTTCAGGTAGATCCCAACATTAGAAATAAAGAGGGAAAGCTTGCCATAGAGTACTTACCAAAGGGGATTGCATTGTATGGTGAGCTAGACAAGAGAATGAGACAGAGCACATCAAATGGTAAGAGAATTAATAATAATATGTATGAAAGTCTGATGAAACTTGTAAACACTTCTGTGTTTGAATTTTAATTTCAAAACAGCAAGATACCTTCAAAAGATACCTGTAACAGAAATGTGACACCAAGATGGCGTGTAGTCATAAAGTGTCTTTATTACATGTACTTAAAGCAAATGGAGAATATATATAACAACATTATAATACATCTTCCTTTTTTGGTAAACAAAAATTCTTATAAACTTTCTTATGCTTTAACATACATTGTTTGTTTTCTTTACCATAAACATGATCTGAACAAAAACAACACTCTTTCCCACTTCTTGTACCATTTAACAATGTCACAAAAATGGGTAATACATATAACGACATTATGAACACGACATTATGAATACGACATTCGCGAACACAGAAAAAAAAAAAAAAAAAAAAAATATATATATATATATATATATATATATATACTGGTATATATAATTGGTCTATTTAAACTGCTGAGTTTTACTGTATAGAAAATGTAGACTGTATTTGTATTAAATTCTCCTTCTGTGTAGGAACTGAGCAGCCAGTAGACCTGTTCCTAAGGGGAAAAGAGTGCCTTGCCCAGTTGAAGTTTGAAGAAGCACTTGGATCACTCTGTAAATTCTTAGAGGCAAACAGCAGTGCCTCAAAACTGAATGCTAAGGCATCACAGGCATTAGATATTGTTGTGGACAAAATTGTTCCTACTTTTAAAGGTAAGTGGACACAGGAGAGATTTTATGCATTTTGCAATATTTTGTTGGCATTAATTATCTTAAGCCACATATATAGGTTAATGGAAATTTAAACAATAATCTGGAATTGTTTTTTTCTTTTGCTGTTATCTGCTGCTTTTCACTGCAATTGGTTTGGCCAATTATATTTTGACTGTGCAAGAAAACTGACTAATTGTCTAATTTGTAGTCAAATTTCATCACATGTCAAATGGCTTTATTTTTATTTTTTAGAGATCCCATCCAGAATCTCCTGCAAGTTACCAGACAAGATATGGACACAGGCCATAAAAAAGCTGTCCAAGAGAGAAAAATGGCAAACAGTTCAGAAGTTGCTGCTTGGAGGAGGCAATGGTCATGAGAAAGGTCAAGGTGGTCTTGCAGACAACTGCAGCACTGCAGAAATCTCCATTGTGCATTTCCTCAGAGTCCATGATGAAAGAGATGTCAGTGTGCACAAATATGATCTGGTAACTGCTCTCCTCAAGGTAGGTGACATTGGACTATATATATTCAGACACCACACACAAAATCCTTTTGTCAACTGTACATTATACTAGAAAAATGTGCCCTTTCCCATACAAGCATGGAAGTGGCCGAGTTTAGGTTAATAATAATAATATCATGAGCGTTTTTCTATTGAGCCATGTCTGAAAGGTACTTTTTTGCAACAGTGCTGTTGAACACCAGTTTTACTAGCTGTTACAGTAGCATTATCAACCTTTGTAATACAGTATTTCAGAACTTGTCATAAAACTACATGAAACAGGCCCGTAGCCAGCAATTTCAAATGGGGGGTTCCTTTTCTGAAAAAGTGGACCTTTTACCATAAAACCTTCATGTACAGAGATCAAATTTTATCCAAAATGGACCTTTTCCCAGCAAAAAGGGCGGTTCTTTCACCCCCCCCTCCCCCCCTTCCCTGGCGACAGGCCTGTGAAATCTTTGCAATCTTTTATGGAACTAAATCAACATGCATTTTTAAGCACGAATTTGTTTTTATCAACACCTGGTATTTATATTCTGAAAATATTCTACATTTGTATGATAATTGTTATATATGACAGCAGTTTGTTGCATGCAGGGTCTCATAATATCCCAGCTAGAATGAGANGAACTTTGCAAAATTTGGTTCCCTTTTATCTCCAAAACTGGCAGAGATAGGTCCATAGTTACTATTGAACTTGAATAGGAAGTTATATACTGGCAATCTAAATGTGACCTTGAAATTGACCTTTGACCTACTTTATACCATAAACTAAACTTTGCAACTTTTTAATGCTTTTATTTTCAAAACTGGCAGAGATACGCCCATAGTTACTATTGAATTTGAATAGAAAGTCATACGAGGCAATCTAAATGTGACCTTGAAATTGACCTTTGACATACTTTTTATCATGAATTGAATTTCGCAAATTTTAGTTCCCTTTTATCTCCAAAACTGGCAGAGATACACCCATAGTTACTATTGAATTTGAATAGAAAGTCATTAGAGGCAATTTACTGTGACTTTAAAATTGACCTTTGACCTACTTTTAACCATGAACTGAACTTGGCAAATTTTGTTCCCTTTTATCTATAAAACCAGCAGAGATAGGTCCATAGTTACTATTGAACTTGAATAGGAAGTCATATACTGGCAATTTACTGTAACCTTCAAATTGACCTTTGACCTACCTTATGATGAACTGAACTTTGATTGTACCATTTTTAGTTATATATTTTTTTTGCATATTTTGAGAATTCTTGTTGATTGCATTTTTTATAGCTTGTCAAGCACAAGACTGGTGGTGGTGTCCCTTTTTTTGTGGGGGGGGGGGGTCTATACGAATGCGCTTACTCCAGCTGGTGGTACAATATTCGGAGGTGGTATCGCCTCTCTGATCCTCTAGTTATTATAATTTTTCTTTTGCCGTCATCTTCTGCTTTTCACTATGATTGGTATGGCCCATTATATTTTGATTGTACAAGAAAACTATTTGTCTACATTGGTGGTTAAATTCTGTCGCAAAAAGCTTTATTTTTATTTTTCAGAGATCCCCTCCAGAATCTCCTGCAAGTTACCTGAGAAGATATGGACGCAGGCCATAAAAAAGCTGTCCAAGAGTGAAAAATGGCAAACAGTTCAGAAGTTGCTGCTTGGAGGGGGCAATGGACATGAGAAAGGCCAAGGTGGTCTTGCAGACAACTGCAGCACTGCAGGAATCTCCATTGTGCATTTCCTCAGGGGCCATGACGAAAGAGATGTTAGTGTGCACAAATATGATTTGGTAACTGCTCTCATCAAGGTAGGTGACAGTGGACTGTATTCAGATCGAAACCTCACACAAAATCCTTGTTAACTGTACATTATAGTAGGCAAGCATGCACTTTCCCATGCAAGCATGGGAGTGGCAGAGTTGAAGATAATAATATCATGAGTGTTTTTCTATGGAGCCATGTCTGAAAGGTACATACTTTTCTGCATCATTTTTGGATCATTGCTTGTGAGCACCAGTTATATTGGTACAGTAGCATTATCAACCAATGAAGTATTTCAGAATTTGTCAGAAAATTACATGTGATCTTTGCCATCATTTATGGAACTAAATCAACATGCATGTTTGAGCATGGATTTGTTTTATCAACATCTGGTATTCTAAATTCTCTACATTTGTATGCTAATTTTTACATATAACAGCCGTTTATTGCATGCATGCAGGCTTTCGTAATATTTGCTTTATTAATAATTTGAATTAATGTAAAAGAAATTGAAATGTAACACAAATAGACCTCAACAAAACTATGCAAAAGGAAATGACCATATAGCTAGTACAAAGGTAATGTTTTAAACTGACATGCTGGCCCACCAAGCTGTTCTTCATCTTTTCCTAAATCCCAGGAGGGATACAGTTAGGGTCATGTGTTTCAGTATTGCTGTATCACTCTGTTTGTATGTAACAGCTTCCTGTGTATTCTTGGACCCCATTTCCAGAGATCAGATCAATCTACTTTAGATCGACCTAACTCCCTGGGGGTTCACGCTAAATAGCTGTCAGCTGAGGGGACACGAAAGTTAATTACCCCCTTACAGCTTGTAGTAGGCGGGACAGACATTTAAGCCGGATTATCTGACAGTAATCTAGTGAGACTCCCCGCGGGGATAGATCGATCTAAAAGCTTTGGGAATACACCCTTGGATTACATGTATTCCTGTATCTCTGCATTTATTTATTGATGTTGCCTAGCATTTTTAGAATGCTTGTTTAAAATTATGATCCTTTTATTTTTATTTTTGTGTATCAGTATGTGTAGCATGTTGACATCATGTTGTTTGAGATTTTGCTTTTTATGGCCACCCAACTGGCCTTCCAAACTGACAGATTTTATGAAAAAAAATTATAGATGTTTCTTTTTTTTATGTTGTAATTTTCATTATCCCTAAAGCATGGGTGTTCACCAGATGGTGTCAGTAGTGACAAAATAAAACCATTAAGCCATAGCCTTCAGAATGAGGACGTGAAAATGGTGATGTTGCTGCTCAGGGAAGGAGCAGACCCCACCCCCCTAACTCTCTCCAGCAATGACACACCCCTGCATGTAGCTCTCTCCATTGGAATGAAAGCTAAAGGTACAAGTTTATTTGTTTGTTCTAGTTTTCAGCTATTGTGCTCTACAGGTTTTGCTTTTTTTGTTTGGTTTATATTTTTATATTTCATCTTTTGGGTTAACATTGTTGACTGACATGCAAGACAAAGCTGCCAAGTTACAGCTGCCTCAAACCAATTTACTAAAACCAATTTAAAGCTCAGTTGAAATTGCATGGTTTGGCTTTTAATTTTTCTATTTGACGATGTTCACAATCAAGCCAGATTAGTTAAATGACATGCATTGTTTCATTTCCCCAGCTTGTTAATTGATAACCCATATATAAACATAAATTGGACTTTCACTGTGGGAAAAGTGCATGTGGCAAAAAAGTAAAAGTACACATTATCATTTTAGGTGAATTCTCCTTGCTGGAACAGTTGTTTAAACTTTACTCTACACGCCCAGAAAAGTATCCAATGCTGGAGCCTTCCTCTGTAGATGGTGCTGGAAACACCTTGTTCCATGTGATAGCAAAGGGCACCTGCTCTCCCCATGCAGTGGATGCTGCCAGTATTCTGCTTCAAAACAAGGTCAACCCACTGGTGAGAAACAGGGATGGTTCAACAGCAATGCACATATTGAAGAAGGGAAATGACCGAAGGATGCAGTATATGAAACAGGCAAAACAACTCTACCCAGATTTTTCTCCTCCCACACCAAGCAAAAAGAAAGGCAAGCAGAAGGAAAATGAGAAATCAGCTGTTCTCTCTGCTGATGATGAAGTTACTGCTAATGAAGCACTGGATACAGCTCAGAAAGATATAACATGCGGACAGGATACAGCTCAGACAGACATAACACCTCATTTGTTGAAGAAAGAGGGCACAACTAGCATTGTTCCAAAGATGAATAAAGAAGACACAAGGAAGAGAATATCTTCTCTCATTTCAGACTTGCCACAAATGGAACCCAGAAGATGGAAAGATGATTCCGCAAGTATGCTTTTGTCCAGTATAGCCTCTGTTAAAGATGGACAAGCAAAAGTTGAACAAGATGTCTACAATGAAAACTCTGGTGTAGGAAAAACAGCAATAATTGAAGAAGATGAAATCCAAAATGACCTTGAGACTGATCTCCAGGAAAATAGAAGAAAATTAGAAGAAGAACCTCAAGATGTTGACCCAAGCCTATTTGATGACTTGGTATGGGAGGTAGAATGCACAGCCAATCTGTGGAAACTACTGCGGGAGAAGAAGTTGAAAATCGAAATGNGGGATTTTATGCAGGCAATTTTCAAACCCAAATGTGCTTTGTTTATAATTTGAACTAGTGTGAAAGAAATTGAAATGTAACTCAAACAGACCTCAACAAAACCATACAAAAAGAAAATTGCCATATAGTAAATAGTACAAAGGTAATGTTTTAAACTGACATGCTGGTTTTTTTAAGCCCACCAAATTGTCCTTCATCTTTTTGTAAATCCCATGGCTATATCAGGAGGGATTCAGTTAGGGTCTCCATGTGTTTCAGTATTGCTGTATCACTATGTTTGTATGATACAGCTGCCTGTGTACCCTTGGATTACATGTACCCCCATATCTCTGCATTTGAGTATTGATGTTGCCATGCATTTTTAGAATGTTTGTTTAAAGTTATGATTATGAGTAAAAACATATTTTCTTTTTTGTGTTGTATCAGTATGTGTAGCATGTTGACATCATGTTGTTTGAGATTTTATGGCCAGCCAACTGACCTTCAAAATGGACAGATTTTATTAAAAATTTCAGATGTTTCTTTTTTTATGTTTTAATTTTCATTATCCTTAAAGCATGGGTGTTCACCAGATGGTGTTGGTAGTGATAAAATAAAACCATTAAGCCATAGTCTTCAGAGTGAGGACATGAAAATGGTGATGCTGCTGCTCAGGGAAGGAGCAGACCCCACCCCCCTCTCTCTCTCCAGCAATGACACACCCCTGCATGTAGCTCTCTCCATTGGAATGAAAGCTAAAGGTACATGTTTATTTGTTTGTTCTAGTTGTCAGCAATTGGGCTTTACAGCTTTTACTTTTTGTTGTTTGGTTTAGATTTTTATATTTCATCTTTGGGTTAACATTGTGGACTGACTTGCAGAACAAAGCTACCATATTACAGCTGCCTCAAAACAATTTTTATAGTATGTCTAGAGTTGTAACTAAAACCCATTTAAAGCCCTGTTGAAATTGCATGGTTTAGCTTTTAATAGTTCTATTTTACAATGTTCACAATCATGCCAGATTAGTTAAATGACATGCTTTGTTTCATTTCCCTAGCATGTTGACAACCGATGCATAAACAAAAACTGCACTTTCACCGTGGGAAAAGTACACATGGCAAAAAAAGTACACATTATCATTTTAGGTGATTTCTCCTTGCTGGAACAGTTGTTTAAACTTTACTCAACATGTCCAGAGAAGTATCCAATGCTAGAGCCTTCCTCTGTAGATGGCACTGGAAACACCTTGTTCCATGTGATAGCAAAGGGCACCTGCTCTCCCCATGCTGTGAATGCTGCAAGGATTCTGCTTCAAAACAAGGTCAACCCACTGGTGAGAAACAAGGATGGTTCAACAGCAATGCAGATGTTGAAGAAGGGAAATGACCGAAGGATGCAGTATATGAAACAGGCAAAACAATTCTATCCAGATTTTTCTCCTCCCACACCAAGAAAAAAGAAAGGCAAGCAGAAGGAAAATGAGAAATCAGCTGTTCTCCCTGCTGATGATGAAGTTACTGCTAATGAAGCACTGGATACAGCTCAAAAAGATATAACATGCGGACAGGATACAGCTCAGACAGACATAACACCTCATTTGTTGAAGAAAGAGGGCACAACTAGCATTGTTCCAAAGATGAATAAAGAAGACACAAGGAAGAGAATATCTTCTCTCATTTCAGACTTGCCACAAATGGAACCCAAAAGATGTAAAGATGATTCTGCAAGTATGCTTTTGTCCAGTATAGCCTCTGTTAAAGATGGACAAGCAAAAGTTGAACAAGATGTCTACAATGAAAACTCTGGTGTAGGAAAAACAGCAATAATTGAAGAAGATCAAATCCAAAATGACCTTGAGACTGATCTCCAGGAAAATAGAAGAAAATTAGAAGAAGAACCTCAAGATGTTGACCCAAGCCTATTTGATGACTTGGTATGGGAGGTAGAATGCACAGCCAATCTGTGGAAACTACTGCGGGAGAAGAAGTTGAAAATCGAAACGAAAAGAAGAATCATAGAGAAAATCCAACTCCTTGGCAATGGCCACTGGAGACAAGATCTCTGCAAGAGACTGGAGGGGGCTGCCAAAAATGCTGGAATGAAGTTGTATGAGGCCAAGCTGACCAAGGGGGCTCGTATTCTCTGGGAACTGGCCATTGCTTTCTCTCCACGTTGCAGTGAGAGTGCTGAGCAGAGACTTGGCATGGAACCTGTCAAAGAAGGGGTGGTTGGAGGGAGAATCTACTCTGAAGTCATCCGAGTGTGGGATGTTGTCTTTGATCATGATAATGTCTCCAGGACAATTGACAGCATTGTGACATCTTTCAACAGAGGACAGAAATGTATTATTCAGAAGAAACTCAAAGGCATGGAACGCAAGGATTTCCCTTCAAACAAGTTCACTGAGCAGAGAATACCTATATATTTCAACGAGGTGGACACAGAGGAGAAGGAGACGCCACACCTTCAGCCAAAAATGCACAAACTAGAATCTTTGACCAAATTCTTTCCACCAGCAAGTGCCAATGAGACAGAGTACCACATCATGAAATTCTATTCATTCACGTCGGCTCTGGTCAACAATGTTCTTCTCAACCAAGACACCAAAGTAGACTTTCCTTTCAGGGTAACAGAATTAGAGCATGCCATTATCAACTTGAACCCAAAACCACCACAATCGATCCTTCTGCTAGGCAGGAGTGGGACAGGTTAGTCTTTTTGCATTTTAGTTATTCATTCAATTGTATTATGTATAACAAAAATATATGAATGCCTCTGGTTTTATGCATTTTATTTTTGAACATTCTTTAATTTCTAGGCTTTCTGATCTAGATGGTCATGCAACCTTTCTGTCAACACCCTATGTATTTTCACAAGAAGATATTCAGTTTTAAACATAGTTTGTATCACTTTCCTTTGCTTTAGGGAAAACTACCTGCTGCTTGTATCGCCTATGGACCTTCTTCTCACGTTACTGGGAGCAAGCTGCCAGGGCTGGAGAGCCCTTGATTCCCCGTAGTGTCACCTTTGTGCACCAGGACATAAAGGCAGATAAGGCTAATAACAAAGGTATTTATGTGTCATATTATAACATCCAGAAATATCAAAATAATATTATCATACAAATACAGTAGTTTTGCTATTTAATGGGAGTGTATTGTTTCTCTAAGTATATATTTGTTCATATTTGTCGTGCATGATGAATTATTTTTAGTAAATTTTTTTACTTGCATTTTCGTTTTATTTTTTAAATTGTTTTTATAGATAGAGCAGAAACGTCTGATGTTGGTGATGATGATGGCGATGATGATGATGATGATGATGATGATGATGATGATGTATCAGCTGATGAATCAGAAAAGTTGGATGTAGCCAGCAAAGGTGCCACATGTAACACAGAAGACTGCCAACAAGAACCTGGCAACACTCAGGAAGCCCCAATCATGGAACATCTGCATCAAGTGTTTGTTACTAAAAATGCCGTGCTTTGCAGTGAAGTGAAGAGAAATTTCAGGGAGTTGAGTCATGCATGGGAACCTGCCAATGCTCATGTTGAAGTGGAAGACCTTCCTTTGCCAAATTGTCTACAGGAAGCCCACCCTGCTCAGTTCCCACTGTTTATCACAGCCAAACAGTGGCTGATGCTTCTTGATGGATCCTTGCTGAATTCATTTTTTCCACGCAACCAAGATGGCAGCCTGAAGCGGCATATTCAGGGCTGGGGAGAAAAAGAAGCAAGTGTGACCTATATCCCTGATCTGGATGATTCTGATGGTGAGTTGGAGGATGATGAAGATGACACAGTTTTACCAGGTGACCCTGAAAATGAGGATGTCGCCAACCAACCACAGCCGAAGGAAACCGATCCAAGGCGAGAAGTAACATATGAGGTATTTGCCAATGAGCTTTGGACCAAAGTGAATAAGGGAAAGATTGACTACCACCCTACTTTGGTCTGGATGGAAATTATGTCTTTCATTAAGGGTTCTGTAGAGGCCCTGCACACTGAGAAGGGTGAGCTTTCCAGAGATGGATACCTAGAGCTTGGACAGAAGAGGGCACCCAACTTCTCTGGAGATCGGAACAAGGTGTATGACATGTTTGAGAGATACCGTCAGATCAAGTTGACCAAGGGGCTGTTTGATGAATGTGATGTGATCAGCCATATTTACCACAGATTGAAAGATATTAAAGTCTTGCAGTGGAGCCTTCATCAAATCTATGTGGATGAAACCCAAGACTTTACCCAGGGTGAACTTTCCCTCTTCATACGGTGTTGTCAAGACCCCAATTCTTTATTTCTCACAGGAGACACAGCCCAGAGCATCATGAGAGGAGTTGCCTTCCGTTTTGATGACCTCAAGACTTTATTCCACTATGCAAGCAAGTCTTTTAAAGCTGTGGGAAAGACATCAGCAGTGGCTGTCCCCAAGAAGGTGTACCAGCTCACCCACAACTACCGATCTCATGCAGGTATCCTGGACCTGGCATCCAGTGTGATTGATCTCTTGGTGAAGTTCTTCCCAGAGTCTTTTGACAGACTGGAGAGAGATCAGGGCTTATTCCGTGGACCCAAACCAGTTCTTCTGCAGTCCTGCAGTTTCAGTGACCTTGCATTACTGCTGAGAGGAAACAAAAGGAAGACGTCTGAGATTGAGTTTGGCGCCCACCAGGTTATCTTGGTTGCCAATGAGGAGGCAAAGAGCAACTTGCCAGAGGAACTTAGTTTGGCCCTGGTGTTGACCATCTATGAATCCAAAGGCCTGGAGTTTGATGATGTCCTGCTGTACAATTTCTTCAAGGATTCTCCAGTAAGTTTGGTTTTAAAACATTGTTGTGGATTTGTTGTGGGGGAGGGGGCTAATATTAAAGGAACATGATGCAGCTGAAATAATAATGCAAATGCTGAAAGGTTGTTTACTTATAATGTTCTTTTAGATTTTTGATATTCAAGAATAAAGTAAAATCCTGTGTCATTTGAGCTGTCAGCAATGTTCTTGCAGGCTTACAAAGAGTGGAGAGTTGTGACAGGTCACCTTGAAAAGCTGCTGGAGCAGTACAAGTACAACCAAGAGAAAGGACAAGATAATCTTGTTGAACTGGATATTGGTAAGTGATGTTCCATGCTTTTGAGGTACATGTATCATTAAAAACATACTAAGTGAATTTTAGAAAAAAATATATTTGGGGTGTCATGATGGAAACTGTCACTGAAAAATTGAGAACACACAGTGATAAACGATTATGATTAATCAAATTGTGGCCAAAGGATGATATTTCTGATGATGATCTTAAGAAAACCTCCCATCTTAGAAGCTTGCAGTGCAATCAAATTATGGAGAAAACAACTTTTCTTTATATTCAAATTCTTTTTTATCTTTTAAATATTTTTTCCAGATGAAGAGTATGACAATGTCCGTCCCAGACCATTAGACTTTAGCCCGGAGAAACACAAAGTATTGAACTCTGAGCTCAAGTATTTGTACACAGCTTTGACCCGGGCCAGGGTCAATGTCTGGATATTTGATCAGGACGAGGAAAAGAGGGCACCTATGTTTGAATATTTTGTTCGTAGAAAGTTGATGGATGTTGTGGAGACAAGATCTGACAGCAGTGATGACGGTAAGAAATGGACAGACTGTGATCTGAAATGATGCTTTGATGATGCCTTTCAAGTATCACATTTGGTATAACTCCTTTCATAAGAACTATATCCATTCACAATGTTCACTTCAAATGCATGCACAGACTTGGAGCTTGCATACACCTTATTAAAGGAAAAGTAGAACTGGTGTGGGGAGGGGGAGCAGGATAGTATTTTTAATTGAGCCATCCTTTGTGTTTGCCAGAAAGGGTAACCATATTATGTTCAGTTATATTTTTCTAGTCTGGAAACCAATTTTGATGCGCGTTCTGTCATATGATTGCATGATCAATATAACATGATAAATATTTATTCAGATATTAATTGGTCTTGGATTTGAATATTAATTAATTTTTAGAAAAAAAAAATCAAATAGATTAAGTGTGACATGACTTTATTTCCAATTACTTACCAATATTGTACATGTAAACCTTTATTTCTAACAGGTCTGTCATCTGCAATGTTTGCATGTACTTCTACAGCAGAGGAGTGGGTGAAGAGAGGTGATTATTTCTATAATCACAAGTTGTACCAAGTAGCTGCTAAGTGTTACAGAAGAGGTAGGTAATGTATATTTAGTATGAAAATGCAAATTGAGACACCTTGTAGAGTGTTCTCCTTTTGGGATATTGCTTATACTTATGTAATGACCTAATGAACAGATATTGTTTATTGCGAACTTTTTTATCACTTGCCTGTCCAGAATGTATTGAACATTTATTCATTTTTATGCACTCGGCTTCTATTGATGGTAATTAACCAATTTATAGCTTTATGATGAAATTGATATAAATCTTACCTGAGAATATAAACATAACAGGTGATGAAGAAGTCCTGGAAAGAATGTCCTTGGCTCAAGCAAGAGCTCTGAGTGCAGAGAGACTGAGAGAAAACCCACACAAATTGAAACAGGAGTTTCTCCTGGCCTCTGAGGAGTTCTTGCAGTGTAGTATGCCATCTGAGGCAGCCAAGTGTCTGTACAATGCAAAGGAGTTCCTGTTGGCAGCCAGACTGTTTGAGAAGATGGCAAAGGTGTGCATCAGTTTTGCAAAACAAATGAACTACATATATGAAATGCTATGCAAATCTCTTTAGGTAGTGTAGTTTTGCCTTTTAATGATCTGTGGATTGTTTCATTTTCAAAAAAAGTGTGTTTAGAAATAGGCATGCTTTTTAATGCTTTAGAAAATTGATACATTAATTATAAATACTTTTTAAGCATAACAATGAAAGACACTTGATTGCTTTTAAAATTTTAGTTTTAAATTTGTGATTCTTTTGAAGTGATTTTAATGTGACTCGGTCCAATTATTTTCTAGTTCAGGGATGCAGCTGTCCTTTACAAAAAAGTCAAGTATTACCAGGATGCTGCCAATTGCTATGAGCAATCCTCTGACTTCAGGAAAGCCATTGAGATACATGTGTCAGTGGATCAGTTCCAGAAAGCAGCAGATGTCCGTGAAAGATACGACATTAAAGAACAGGTGAGGAGATGACACAGTATGCAGTTTCAAAATAGGTCGTTGACATGGAACTCCTAATAAGAGCATGTGTGCATAAAAGAAGAATTCTACTTATGTATGTGTGTAGAGTGTGTAGATGCATTTGTGCATGCATGCAAGGGTGTGTCTTTGAATATACAGTGAGAGAGATGGAGAGATTTAGGAGATTTTCTTATTTATTCCTGTAGGAATATATGTCTCACGGAAAGATTCTGCCACAGGCTTTAATTAAAGGAGCCCCAAGTCCTCTCCATAGCATGGACTATCTTTGCTTTGAAGCTGCAAAATTGCATTTTCATCGCAGAGAGTATGACGCCATGAATGCAGCCCTATCACGCCTTCCCTTTGAACGACAACTTCAGTTTCTCAAAGAAAGAAACAACATAGCTGGTGTTGCTGCTTTGTATAAAAGGAATGGTGAGTATTTAAATAGGGTTATAAATTATATTCACAAGTAATTAAATTGTGTTTCTAGTAGATGATAGTGTCAGAATTTACATCGTGTATTTACCAGAAAACTTTAAAAAATGGTACCACATTGCTGCTTAATATTGGGTAGATAAAGACTTCTGAATTGTGAAAAAGCTTTATGTTTACATATAATTCTGAACTGATGAAAAATTTTAGGTCAGTCCATGGAAGCTGCAAAATTTTTGAAGTCAAAGGGCAAAGTTGAGGAGGCACTGGAGTATGCCGAGCGCTTGGATGATCCACATTTCAGGGCAGAGTGTCTCATGATAAGCAGCAGGATGAAACTGCAGTATATGTCCAGTCCTACAATAAAGGAGAACATCCTGAAGAATTTAGAAGAAGCTGAAAAGCTTTTTTCTGCTTGTGAAGATAGCAATGGGCAGGCAGAAGCTCAGCTGTATCTTGCCAAGTTGAGAAAAGATATTAAGCTCCTAAAAATCTCTTCTGATCTTTTCATGAAAAATCACAACATTGGTGGACAAGTGGAGGTGGTTGAGGTGTTAATGGAGATAGTTCCAGAGCTGTTACCCGTACATGTTTTGCCAGTTCGGGATGCTGTAGAAAGTGTTGCCAAGTTCCTCCTCATTGTGCAGAAAAGTCCAGTAAAGCAAACCCAAACAGAAAGGGCCATGCTTGACATCTGTGAGCTGTACTATGGCATAGAGAGGGGGGATAGGGAACAAGTTAGGAAAGTGAAGACCAGTGAAGCTGCCAGGATTGACATCCTGCTTACTGAAGATTTGGATAAAGATCAAGTGCCAAAGAATTTGATCCATGAGAAAATGTGCCAAGATCTTCTTAGGAAAGTTGGCAATGGTGTAAACAAGTGTCGTGCAATGATGTGGAGCCACATGAAAAAGCAAGAGATCTGCCCTGACTTCATTGCTGGGCAGCCCTGTCAAGAACTTGGATCATGTTCTAAACTGAGGCAAGAACCTAAAAGGAATCATCTGCTGCACCACTTGGATAGCATCCTCAGACTCATTTATTTAGATTCTACTGTAGAATGGGCATGTGAGCAGCCTCACAAGGACACCATCAAAAGGCAGCTTGAAGACCTGAGGCCCAGAAAAGAGCTTGGTGGAAGGTTTGGCTCTTGCCTGTCTTTGTACAAATTGCTCTTTCCTGCTCAGGGTCACCACAAGAATCTATGCTCTCTTCCTCTTGAAGCCAGGGAAGTGATGAATAAGATTAAAAGCTTGGCTGTAGAAGATCAGTTAAAGAGATGGGCAAAGTATCAGTGGACAAAGTGTCCTCAAGATCAGTTGTCCAGCACAGATTTGTTCCTGTTGATCTTCAATGTACAGCGCCTGCTTAGGGTCAAAATTGAAGACTTGAAAGGAATGCTTACAAAAACTGCTGATGGCTACTCAGCAGAAGCTAGTAAGAAAGTTGCCCCACATAAAGTGCCAAAGCACATTGGTATGGTCTATGTAGGAGTAAGGAGGAATAGACACATGTTCATCAGTTTGATGAGCAGGTTTATCGATTTCTCCAAAGAGCTCCATAGCAAACTGGACCCTATAACTGCCATGAGAGCACTGGTGCTGAACTTCATCAGGAAACTTGCAGATCGTGCTTCAGAGCCACTGATGCCTTCTATTGCCAATACGGTAGGTTTGATGATATATCAAATGTCTATTGTTTTCTCTGTATGCATGTGTAATTTTGTTTAGGATTTTGTAAGCTTAATTAAATTCTGAATTGCTCTTACAATAAATTTGTTACTTAACCATGGCTTTTAATAATGTTATTTGAGTTATGATAACCTTATTGCATCATAGATTTTTTCATAAAGATATGAAATGTATTTGTAACTTTGTGATTCAAATGAGCCTTAAAATGTTCTGTAAAATTTTCACTTACAAACTGATATTTATATTTGCAAGGTTTGGATGATGGAGCTGGCCACTACCTTATTCCTTAGCATGGTAGCTAAAACTACCCCTGCTGTTGTCCTGTGCTTGCCCTCAGGGTACCTGGCTCAGCTGTCCCTCTACGACTTCATCAGGGATAGACAGTATGCCATGTGGAAGAGCCTGACTCACTGCACTTGGCCTAGGGAGTGGTACCCCGTCGTTGCTAGGATGATGGTTACCATGGTGAAGATACTCTGTGGTAATCACAACCCAAAGTTCAATGTGATTGAAGATGCTTTCTCATCTGTTGAGTACATCAGGAGTGGGGAGACAGAACGGACCCTAGTTTTGATGCTTACTCTCTTGTGCAACACCAACCAAGCCTTGCCTCCTGATTGTGAAATCCTGATCCGCAGATCCTTGAACTCCATCAGACTTGACAGAGAATTTTTGCCACAGATGCTCTACATGATGGTCAAGGCAGCAAAAGAGGCAAGTGGGCTCCAAGGTATTGTAGAAGTTCTGCAAGAAGTGCTGCGTCAAAGAGACCAGTGTCTGTATCAATGTGTGTGGGGTACAATTGGTAAAAAGTTTAGCACTGCGAAGGGATTGGTCAATCATCCAGTTAGACCTGCATCTTTCTGCCCCACATATAACATGCCTCTCACAGATGTTCAAGACACAGCAAGCAGCTACTCAGATACAGGGAAGGAAGCAGAAATCTATGAGGAGGAGACAGAGGAAGTTGATGAGCAAGAAATCTTAGATGCAGAAAAGTCAGCCAAAAGACTTCAAATGGAAAAGAAGCTTGTTGTTTGTCTTTTGGTAATTCGAGCATGCAGGAAGTTCAATCAACTGAGACAAGTACCTAATCAGGCAGCATCTGCATCGACCAAGGACAATGGCCTTCCGAATCTAATACAACACATCACTATTGATAACACCATGTGTGGGTATTGTGGAGTTAACTTCTCAAGTGCCCCTACAACTCAAGATTGGGAAGAAGAAAAGGAAGAAAGTCCAGCATCACAGCAGACAAGATCAATTTCCCCTATCATGACGAATGATACTGCAAGTTCGCCCATGCCCAATGTTTCACCCCAACCATATCTGTATCAGAGTCAGTTATCATGGGAACCTACTAAAAGTATAGACACCCAGTTTGCCTCACTGGATGAGGTAGGGCACCTGTCAGATAGTGCACAGCCCACCCACATCTTTGACCCAACAGTAGAGCAAGCCAAGCAGAGAAACAGTCATGAGAATACCACGGACCATAAAGAGCAAAAGCAGTATTTTGGAATATTCCACTCAGTATATGTGAAAAAAGTATTACCTCTACTGCAGGAATTTGAGGATTTTAAGCAACAGTTACCATGCAAAGATGAACGTAATGCAGAAGCTCTTCATTTCAAGCTACATGAACTTACAAATGCAATCATGCATCTGAAAGATGCTGTGAACAGTGTGATTCAACAAAAGATGTGGGGAAGTACTAAAGAAGTTCTTGACCAAGTAGAGAAGGTTGCAATAAAGTTGAGAGCAGGAATGCCCATTTTTATGGAGTGGCAGAGGGAGGCAGAGGCCAAGAAGCACAGAATAGTAAGGGTTTCCACTGCTTATTGTACCACCAGCGTAGGCGCTGGCGGTACNGAAGCCGTTTCAATTATATATATATATATATTTCCACACTCACGCTTGTTATATATATATTAAAAAACAATTTAAAATAAATTGAAACGAATTGTTATACATACAAGACTTATTGGAAAAAATGTTTGGGTTAAACTCATACATTATGGACATGACTGTTTTGGATTTGTAATGGTATTATTTAAACATTTGCATTTTACCTTGTAGGCTGTAGCTCAGGAGAAAGCAGCTGAAGAAATGGATGAAGAGATAGTCAATGCACACGATGAAGATGAGAATAAGGTGGGCCATCTTCTACCAGTGACGGAAGGGCCAGGTGGTCAGAGACAGATAAAGAAAAATAAGAAGAAAATGAAACGTAAACGCAGCAGGCAGAAATAGTTTTTATTAAGTTCTTTCACATTTACTACATGTATATACACATTGTGTTATGTTATGCTGATTTAGACCATGTTCTAAAGAAAAACTTTTAAAATTCCGTTTAGAAATGTGAAAAAAATTCACAAAAGTTGACATTTTTCAGTTTTGAGGATGAACAGTCACATGTATATATTTAGTGACAACTATTATTATATTTTATTCATATTTTCATGAACAGAGTTAAAGGGATAATAACTCTTCGTATGAGATCTATATTTCACAATAAAAACATTGTGAATAACTCATAGAAATATAATATATTGTTTTACCACAAAAACGGCAGTTATAGCTATTATTCTGATATCTGAGCTTGTCTTTAGACCATGTGACCTCTTTTTATGGCTATACTCTGTTAAAATCTCTTAAGAGATTTTAACAAAAAACCAAACTTTTTAGAAAAAAACCAGGGACTAACTTTGAATGTAAAAATGGATTCATTAGCCATTGGTAAGTATGGAAAAATTGTTTACTCTAGAAAAATTCATTTTTTGGCCGAAACGAAGAGTTATTATCCCTTTAAATTGAAAATAAAGTAAACCTTTGATCTGACTAAATTACTGAAAATTCTCCACAAAAAGTATTTTATATTTGCAGCTACCTTTAATTAATACATGAACAATATAGTTCATCTAAATTTGATTACTTAAAACATTTAATGTAAACACTAAAGTGGCAATCTAGGTTACTTTTATCAACAATAATTTCGAAAATAGCTTTCTTCATTGGATAATTAGTATTTTGCCAGATCTTATGATTTTGGTTAAATCTTTGTCAAATTTGTAGGTGATAACATATTGTTTTGATAGCTTAGAAGTTTCTGTGAAATGTTAATGTTTATGATTTTATTTCTTGTATTGCTGTTGTGTCAGTAAGAAAAGTTAGTCTCAAAATAAAGTTCAGTTTTACCTTCTGTGCTTTATGTGAAATTATCTCTTATTCTTGGTTGCTAAAATTAAAAAAAGCAAAACAATGTCTACATACTAGTACTTCATTCGGTATCATTTCAGATTTTTAAATAAAAGTTACAAAATTCCATGGTACATTGAACAAATGGAAAAGGACACACCAAGTACAAATCTGTTGTGTAATGAAAACTGATTGCTAAAAAAAAAGAAGAAAATCAATTGCTCCTCATCACATTCCAGTGACAGATAAAATCACACAATTAAAATATACCTTTTTACTTATTTTACAAAAAAAAAAAAAAAAAAAATCAAG